TATTTCTCTTTGTATTCTCACTCTTCCATTCTCACTAATTGGCTGCATGGTCTTAAAGGAGTCTTTTTGCCTCTTTGCTTCTGTGTGAAAGGAGTAATAGTGTCTCTAGCTGCCAGAGGAAGGGGACTGGGGGAGATGATTGAGCTGCCAATGAGAACTCATAAGTGTGTGGTGTTTTCCAAAGGAAGATGACTATTCAAAGTGTATATGCATTCGTGCTACTTCAAAATATAATTATGCTTCATGTGCACACATGTATGTGTGTATTCGTTTGCATACACATTTCATTGCCTATTTGGACTCCCTCATCATTAAAAAAACGTGTTTTTCAGTTGACCTTTCAGAATTGTAAATTGTGTGTGTCAGTTTTAAAAATTCTAATAAGATTGCTATTTTTAAATGACTGGCAGCAGCTCCTCTTATTAACTAATGGAGATAATGATGGCTACATCTTAACCCAAAGAGAAATTAAATAGGGCTGTCAGGTTTCTCTCATTCAGGAAAGGACTGCTATCCTTAAGCAGAGCAACTTCCTTGCTTGTTTCCAGATTGTGGGGTAGGATGGAGGATAATACTTTAAGTGATGAAGTTGGCATTTCCCATCTGTTGTACCTCAAACACAGGCTTCCTTCTCTCTACCAATCACAAATTATAAAATCTCTGCCGATAGTTTAACCATCTGGATTTCCCATCATACCCTGTTTTCACACCTGGAGAGTCAGAGCAGGTCTTTGATAGATGTTTTTTCAAAATTGCCTCATAAAATCAAAGGACAGGCAAACAATATTTTTCTAAAATTGTAAACAGTAGAATCATCATCCATAACATTTGTTACTGCTTTTAGAATTGTTAATAATTTTGGCTTCTGGGGTTTTGTCAAAGTGCTTTTTTTTTTTCCTTGAAGCAAGCTACCACATTCTCATTAGCTGCTTGCTTACATTTAACAACGTCAGAACTAAGCTCAAAGCATTGGGAGAGAGAAATTGCAAGAAGTCAAATACTGGGCTGGGGTTGTGGCTTATTGGTAGAGTGCTTGCCTAGCATGTGTGAGGCATTGGGTTCGATTCTCAACACCACATATAAGTAAATTAATAAATAAAATAAAGGACCCTTCACAATTTTTAAAATATGGAAAAAAAGAAGTCCATTACTAAGCACAATGAGTTTTACATTCAATTTTAATTAAAATATTTGTTCATGCTTTGCCTTCTCAGTCAAACACCACCTAGGCTTTGTCAACTGGCTCTGCTAATTGAATAGCCCTTTAAAATACCACTTTGAATTTGTCTAAGGGTCATGGACTATCTGAATTATTACTAAACTGGTCATTTCCATAGACCTATCTACCTCCAGTGTGGTAGGTTCCAAATTTCTTTCCTCCCTAGTCACTCCTCAAGTGGTAACTTGCCCATTTTTGCTCTTGCCTAATTTGTGTGTGTGTGTGTGTGTGTGTGTGTGTGTGTATGTGTGGTGCTGGGGATTGAGCCCAGGGTCTTGTGCATGCAAGGCAAGTACTCTACCAACTGAGCTGTATCCCTAGCCCTTCTTGCCTAATTTTTTAAGAGGAATGCCAAAGTGTTAAACTTTGGTTTCTTTCTGGAGCCTATCAATTTTTGCAAACATGGTAATTTCCTCTGTCAGCCCCTGGTGTGTTGCTGGGGATTACTGGGCCCCACTGGCCCTCTCCCCTGCAGAGTTATTTGCTTTTACTGAGCAGGAAGTTAATTTCTCCACTTGGAGACCCTTTAGCATCTTTAGCATCCAACAGGAGTGTAGAAACAGGAGCTCTCATCAGATAAGACAAAAGGATCTGGCCACTTAAATATCACACTTTTGCTTCCTTTTTAGTTCAGATGAGGGAGCAAGTGCAATCTTGCAGCAGAAGAAAACTAATTTTTTGCTAGGTTCCTCTATTGTCTGCTAACTCTCCTCCAGAAAGGCTGGGCCTTTTAAATAATACTTAATAAATTTGAAAGGTCCATGCACAGAAAAATGATTAAATATAAGATTTAGACCATCCACCCTGAATCACGTAGCATTACTAGTAAATGTGATTAAAGACACTTTCATCTGGTTAAGAATGTGGTATTTGAAACAGGTTGCTGCCTCAGTTGGTAGGTTACTTCCTCCTTTCTTTGTAAAGCTTCACAGTAAGTAGCCTGGGTTGAAACTGGAACTCAGTGTGGGGAAGAAGGACGGGCGGAGAAACGGTCATGTTATTGAGGTATTGCAAATGTACTGACTGGTGATTTCACACGTAGGCATTCCACAGTACAGGAAGCTCTTACGTCTACCAAACCAAGCCTGTTGGCCCCTTACCACCAAATTTTCCATTGCTCACCTCTAAAATCCCAGCTTCTAAATTGCTGGTTTATTTTATCATGTCAATTGTTTTTCTATAGTAAAGTGGGAATTCAGTCACTTGAATTTCAAATATCACAAAACAATTTATAAGAATCATGCAAATCTAAGAGACAAAAGAGAGAATTTTTTTTTAGTCACTTTTATAGTATGTTCCTCCTTCACTTCACAATGCTTCCTTTGAGAGTTTTTTTTTTTTTTCTTTAATGAAACTGAAACAATCTTGCCAACAGAGTCATGGAAAATTTTACCAACTCCATTTGTTCCCAATCGCTCATTTCTTTTCCTTCTTTATATATAAAAAGTCTTTGCTTATTAATTTTTCTAATATAAAAGATAATTTCTAAATAAAAGCTTATAAAAATTCAAGCATTATAGAGGTGTAAATTAATAACTACCTTCTCCCTCCAGAGTCTTGCTTTCCTTCTCCAAGTATATTGACCTTTTGGTGTATATTCATTCTTCCAGCTACCTTAGCTTTCTCCCTGTTTGTATAGCCAGAGTCTGTTAGAATTTGTATGAATCCTTGACAAGAGTAGTAAAGAAATAGACAAAGGAGGAACCATCAATAGACATGTTTAAAGAAAAAAATGCACACAGTAAAGGAGAGAAGAGGAAAGATCAAGGCAATCTAGGCAAAGAGAAGACAATCTGCTTTTTCCTCTCCTGGAGTCAGTTCTTTTCGGGTAGAGTTTCTGTCAACCATCTTTATGAACTTACCAAACTAGAAAAATACCTAGTACATAGGAGGTGCTGAATAAATGAATAGGAATGAAGAGCAGGATCTGACTGGTGAGGGTTGGGTAGAGTGAGCAGGAAATAACACCAGCCTTTTTCAGTTTATCAAAGCCCTCCCTCCTATGCCTGAATAAGCTTCAGGAATTACAGGCTGCTAGAGAAACTGCAGCTTCATTCCGAGTAATGTTCTAATTCTCCAGAAGGCCTGACATATAACCCTGGAAATTGTTTGCTTTCTCAGCCCTTCCAAGTATCCTTACCCTGAGTAAGTGAGAAGGTCTCCAAGTTTTTCAACTTGAAAAATCCCCATTATAAAAAAAGCAGGTTATCCAAAGATAATCCCACCCCCATCCCCATTGCCTTTTGAGAGAAGACATTCTAGAGTTTGAGAGAGGTATTATAGAAAGACATATAGGTACCCAGGGAGAGCTTTACTTTGCTGGGGTCACTGCAGTTCAGGGGCAGGTTTTCTGCCCTATAGCTCTTGACATTTGATTTCATCTGTGGAGCCTAGTGTTGACTAATACCAGCTAGGAGATTTATAGATAATCCAATGTGCAGATTTACAACATGAGTTAGGATTTTCCAGAGATAGGAATCTCTTTTTACAGTTTTTGACATTGTTAAATACCTTCTCCTTGATGGGTGAAGTGGTACATGCCTATAATCCCAGCTACTCAGGAGGCTGAGGCAGGAGGATTGCAAGTTTAAGGCCTGCCTTGGCAATTTAGTGAGACCCTGTCTCAAAATAAACAATAAAAAAAGGACTGGAATGTAGCTCAGTGGTAAAGTACCCCTGGGTTTGATCCCCAGTTATTGCCAAAAACCCCAAAACAACAACAACAACAAAACCCACCTTCTCCTTATCAAAATTTTGCTATGGTTTGGATTTAGTTTGAGTGTTTCCCAAAGGCTCATGTGTTGGGAGTTTGGTCCCAAGGATAATACTGTTAGGAGATGTGGTTTCTTTAAGAGGTAGGCTTAGTGGGAGGTTCTTCGATTGATGGAGGGCATTTCCTCAGAAGGGACTACTAAACTCCAGCCTCTGTTGCTTCCTGTTTGATGATGTGATTTATTCCTCCCACACATACTCCTACCATTGCCACCCACCATGAGGTGATTCAGCAAAGGTGGGAGGAGGGATTTCCAGAGTGTGCCAACTTTCAGCCTCTAAAACAATGAGCTAAATAAACCTCTTTTCTTCAGAGGTTTCCCTGCTTCAGGTACTTTGTTATAGAAGACTAATACAAAACTTCATTTAGAGTCTTTATTTTTTCCTCTGAGTAGTACTCTCTTTTTCCTCCTTTGGAGCCAGACTTATTTTCAATCCTTGTAGTTTGCCTATCATCTGTCTTTATTTTATATTTTTGCCCTCCATGGAAATGCTCTCCACTGCAGTGGTTCTCCTCTATCCAAATAAGTTCTGTTAAAATAACCCTCACCACTCTAACACTTTTCCATATTTCTAAACCCCTAGGGACACTTCCACATGAAAATCTCAAGTTCAAATTCATGGAGTTCAAAATGGAAATTATTTTCTTCCTCCTGAAGTTTTCCTATATGCTCCTAATCCTTTTCTAAAATGGAAACTCAGTAAGCCAGACCCAGAGCTCAAAATCCTTTTTACTCCCCCTGTACCCAAAAGTTATGATCACAAAGTCCTAGGAATTCTACTATATAATATTGATTTATTCACCTATCTATATTTGTTGTTTAATGCTACATAGCAAATTATGCCAAAGTTTGGCAGCTTAAAGACAACATATTTCTTATGCCATAAAGTTTCTGAAGGTTGTGAACTTGCAAGTTGCATAACTTAGCTGGTCCTATCTGGGACTATAGTAGTCTCAAAGCTTGATTAGAGCTGGACTAAGATTACTATAATTTCTGTCTTTTTAAAAAAAAATATGGAACGCTTTACTAATTTGCATGTCGCCCTTGCCCGAGACCATGCTAATCTTCTCTGTATCATTCCAGTTTTAGTATATGTGCTGCCGAAGTGAGCATAAGATAACTATAATTTCTAAGATCACTCATGTGGTTGTTTGCAGGTCTCAGTTCCTTGTTAGCTATTGGCTGGTACCTTCAGTTCCTCACTGTGTAGGTCTCTCCATGGGTCTGCTCACAACATTATAGCTGGCTTTTAGGAGTGGGGGTCAGGGGGAGGGAGAAAGAGAGAATGCTCATACTCACAATGGAAGCCACAGTCTCTTTATAACCTAATCATGGAAGTCACACACAATCACTTTTGCTGCATTCTGTTAGAAGCAAATTAGTAAGTCTAGCTCACATTCAAGAGGAAGGGAACTAAGAGAGAAGTGTCACTGTGAACATATTTGCCAGGTCGCTACCTCTCTTCTTCATATCTGTTTCTGTGGCTCTCACTCAGGCCCCCACCATTCCCACCAGTTTTTGTTCTTAATAATAAAAATAAAGATCCTTATTGTGGTCTACAAGGCCCGTGTCTGCTCCTGCATTGCCACCTGACTGTACTTTAAGTATGTGTCAATCTTCTCTATTTCTGGGTCTCTCATATTCAAACACCGCCCTCGCCCCCCCCCCCCCGCCCCCCCAAAGAGGCATTGTTTACTTTAGGCAGTTGATATTTACTCCAGGCCACTTACTCAGGCCTGAAGAGGCTCAAGGAGCCTGTCTTTTGGCCAGGTATTGATTCCTGGCTTGACCAATGCGGCTAATGCTGTGGGTAATTTAACCCTGCCTAATACTCCCTTATCTCAAAGCACTTTCCCGGCTTCCCAGGCTGTGCCTCCATGGAACTTTTTTCAGAAGGTCTAGAGGGCTGTTTCTCCTCCTGCCTGAGACAGTGCTTGTGCGGTTCCTCTGCTTGGCCAGTTCTTCTCTCTCCAGTCCCCACTTGACTCATTCTTGCATATCTTTACCTCTCAGCCAGGTGTCACCTCTTTAAGTTCCTACTTTGTCTCCTCCAACCACATTAGGTTCCTTATGAGATCTCATAACATCCTGGGATTCCCCTTCATAACTTTTAACTGTGTAATTACTCAGTGTCTTCTTTTTCCTCTAGACTGTAACCTATATGACAGCAGGGACTGTTTTGCTCACAATGTCTGGCACTGACTATGAATGCAATGATTACCTATTGCCTAAGCCTCCAAGTTCCACAGTCATAGACACCAAGACAAAATCATCCTGTCCCCAACATTCTTGCATCTCCCTTACTCAAACTTTCCTAGTGGTCCTCTAGCACTGCAGGACAGATCCACAGCGCTTTAGCCTGGCATTCGAGGCCTTGTAATCTGGGTCCATCTCTCCTTTCTGGTTTTGTTTTGCAGACACAAAAGTTCTAACTTTAGTGATTACTTGCTATTCCTAAAGCACATTTTGCGTGGTTGCTCATACTGTTCCCTGTACCCTGGAATGGATTCTCCCCACTGGCATTATTCAGGATCTCTTTCTAGAAAAACATTTACTATGTATCTTTTTTATTGATTATTTTTATAAACAAATGTGCTTGTATGATCGCAACATGTGCTAGGCACTAGTCTTAAGAATTTTCATGTCAGTTCATTGGAAGATTACAATAGTGATACAAGATAAACCCGCTTACTGTTCCCAGATCATCACAGATAGTTTAAATAATTGGTACAAAGAAATACTAATGACAGAGCTAGATTTTGAGCCCAGGTGATCTGGCTCCAGAACGCAATTCTGAAATCTGTGGACATTCTTTGCTACTAGACTATTACTCTTGAAGGGCAATGAGAGTGTGTTATCATTCCTCTTTGTATCCACTCAGTAGTTCAGACAAATGCTCAGTAAATTAATGAAGAGCAGCCAGTGGCTGGGACAGAAAATAATCGTGGAAACATCCTTCTTTAACAGCCTTATATAAATAACAATCACGTTTGTATTTCTTTGGTCACAAATCCTTAGTCCTCCTACCTATCTCAAAGGAACTAATCTGAATTTCTTAGCCCCTAGTTCCAAAGACATTCTGAGAATGAGTAATTTGGGTGCCACCATTTTCTTCTTTCCTGACATCTGGCTTTTTCCATCTGTCCATTTACACTTCATTCATTCCTCTGTAGGTTTGCCAGATTTAGAAAATAAAAAGAAAGTAAAATAGAACGTAGGATGCACAGTTAAATTTGAATTTCACATAAATAACTAATCTTTTTAAGGATAAATATACACTAATCTTTTTAAGGATAAGTGTTGCAAGGGGCACACTTATAGTAAAAAAATTACTCACTGTTTGTCTGAATTTCAAATTTAACTGGGAAGCCTGTATTTTGTCTGGCAATCCATTCTTATGGCTTTGAGGCCTGGGGCTCTCTGGCTACCCTGACTGCCATCTTTGGCAGGTGGAATTTCATGCTGTGCTATGTTCCACTCCATTCAAGCCCTCATCCACTGGAGCACATTGTTCACTATTCTTGGAATAGAGAGTCAGCCAGCATTAAGACCCCCAAAGCGTATATGAATGCATGTCTTTTCCCAAGCTGCACACTCTGAGGAAATATGGAAACAAAATGGATACAATTAATATTGCAGAGTACTGGTACAAATACTAATTTCCAAGGGTTGAAGCTGAATCAACATTTCAAGTACTCCTCATTGGATAGAAAATCTCTAGGTAAGGAACCCCAAGCACATTGTGTATATGTGGGAATCATCACAGGTGAATAGTAGGTGCTCCATTGTAGATTTTTTTGTGGTTGCATAAATACTTACTAATGGTAATCACCTTTACCCTCACTAATTTCATCTTTAAAATTTTAAAAACTTTATTAGTATAAACTGAATTTCCAGACCAATAAAAGAAACTTAAGAGGAAAGTGCATATTTTTAATTCATGTCCTTCCTTTGGGCAGATGGTTTGTTCCAGGCTTACTTTTTTCCAGAATACCACCACAGAGCCAGCTTGATGACCAATGTTATTTTTTTCCTTTTGATTTTTTCCCCTTAACTCTTTTTTTTTAAATTTTAATATTTTATTTTTTAGTTATTGGCTGACACAACATCTTTGTTTGTATGTGGTGCTGAGGATCGAACCCGGGCCGCACGCATGCCAGGCGAGCGCACTACCATTTGAGCCACATCCCAGCCCTCCCCTTAACTCTTAAATACTCTGAGAAAATGAGATTTTTTCCTACTCAAACACAATACCATTTTGTGCCAACCAATTAATAATTTCTTTATATTATATATATATATATTTAATTTATTTTTCCCAGTATCCCCCAAATGTCTATTTATCGTTGGTTTATTCAAGTTGGTGTTCAAGTGAGATCCACAGGCTTATGCTTTTGATTGACTCTATATCACCTGTAGTGTTGAACCAGTGTCATTTACTCTCGCCCCAGGGATGCAGTCTGATAGGATTTAGGGCATACCCAGGAAGGTCACAGGCCCTGGGGATAGACTGAGACAACTTGGCTATGTCTTCCTTACATCCTTCCAAGGGTGGAGTTGGGCCATGCCACCCCCTCCACTCCCCCACTTGCCATACTCTGGACCTCCTGGCCCTCATCAGCTATGCTAAGGGCCTTCACACATCAGGGCCATCCTACTTGCTTATCTGGCTAACCAATTCTTTTCCTTCATTTTACTCCCTCCGGTTTCCAACCCCCCACCCCCACCATAGACACCATTTGCCTGAAGAATTCCTACTTATCTTTCAGAAATCAGCACAAAACTTTGCTTGGCCTCCTGCACTTCTATACACAAACTAGGACAGAAACCTGTGTTCTATTCTCTCATTGCATTCATGCTTTTCTTTAGAGCACTTATCCAACTACAATTAAATAATTACTTGTGAAATTATCTTTTTCAGTCACTCTTTTCTTAGCTCCACAAGAAGAAGAGCCATGTCCATCTTGTTCACAGTTCACAGTTGTATCTCTGCATCTAACAGAAGGCCTCACAAACACAGGAGACCAACAGAATGATAGAGAGCGAATGGATGAATGAATGGATGGATGGATGCATGGAAGTAGATATGAAATGATTTAAGTTTCTGGGGAGCTTTAAGCAGTGGCTTGACTGGGCCAGTTGTATGCTTTAGGCTCTTCTATGACTCTGGGTGGGAAATTCTGGAGACAGGCCAGAGATAGGCAGCTTTTGGGTGAGAGAAAATAAAAAGAAGGCTGTAAAGGAAATTGAAGAATTTGTTCCATGACATTAACTTGGCCAGAGGTGTCTCTGTTTTCTTTATATTCAATCCTGACATGGAGAGAGATTTCTCATAACCACTCATCCTGGATGACCAATCACAAGGAAATATGAAAGTCCCTGAGATTTATGGCTTCCTAAATTCCTTCTTTTTAGATGTGGCTCAGAAACTGATGATAAATAAAGGTGTGGATTCCACACCATTCCCTGAAACTTTAGACACATCAAAAGGTTTGTGATAAAGCAATGTTTATCTTCTATGGGATTTCGCCAAATAATCTCCTACAGAGATCTCAGCAGTTGCTTCAATAATGTTCTGAGTAAATGTGTTGGAGCCACCTAAGCACAGCACTTTCCTCCTGATGGCAGAGCCCACAGACACTATTTACATGCACTGGTGCCATCGAAACTTTAACTATAAATTACTGCATAAGTGTTAATAAAACTGAGCCTAGCTTTAGGAAATATATTTAGGAAATAGGCACAAAATTGCCTCATATATTTGTGGTTGATAATAGAAACAAACATCAGAACAAAAACAAGAGGGCGTGGCTGAGATAAAAGAGCAAAGTTCTTTGAGTATCACTTGAAATTCCTGTCATTGGAACAGCAGGGCAGAGATGCCAATTTCTATGGTTTTCTTTTTTTTCCAGCAATAGAAAATTCATTTTGTGATCATTTGTTTCCTATTGCTCTTTTGGTCTTCAGTTGGTGGGTAAAAAGTTTTAAAAAGTCCACTTAAAATGCCTACTGAATTAGCTCTAAGGTTTTTCCTTTGGTATTAATAAGGTCTGTCCTCTAAAGATTGGCAACTGATAATGTTGGTCAGAGAAGTCCTCCACTCTCCAGATTTT